AACCAAATTGCACGATGATTGAACTACCTTTACAGTAACTTCAATCTTTCGAATAGAAAATTGATCAACTAGTAAAAGAACCCCTGATACATTTTTGTCATCTTTTAGTAAAAAAAACACCAATCGTGGGGACATTATACATGAATGACAGCTTATCACAATACAAGTGTTCCCATCGTGAACATACAAAATCCACAATATTAGTACTGTATAACATGCACCATATTTCAATAACAGCACAACAAAAGGATCCATCGTATATGCAAATTCAACTATACATTAATTATACCGTCACTGACAGTAACATAGGTATAAAGTGAAAAGAAAGTCAAAACTAAACAATGAAGCCATGAATCCATCAATTGCAACTATACACTAACTGTACTGTCACTAGCAGTAACATATCACAAAGTGAAAAACGATATCAAGGTATAAACAAATTTAACGTATACTCAAAATTGTACTGCCAGCTACAGTAAAATTATAAAAACTTATTGTGACAACACCAAAAACTTCAGTTAATGAACATGATATTACAAAACAAACGTAATACATCCAAAATATATGAAATTATCCTTCGAACAAAAATACACCAAAAACTTTCAAAAACTCAACAAAATTCAAAACATACAAACATCGGGCGTCAATATTTCCGATTTCCCATAATTCACATTCCGGTCGTTTGGGTATTAAAAAAAATTGAAAAAAGCTTGACTATGTTCGAATTCATTCATGCACCGTACTTATCTGCAATGGAGATGAAGGTGGAACGCGAGGTTCAGTGAAACTCCTTGCAAGAAAGAAGCGAATCAAAATGTAGAGAAACAAACCTTATGTTCGGACGTGTAGAGAAATAATATATACTTAGGCAATGTTTGGAAGTGTTTTGGAACTTATTTTGATTTCATTTTGAGGAAATATGTTTTGGGTGAAGATTTGAGAGTGAAAGTAATGTTTGTTTATGTTTTGGAAGGTGACAAAATACATTGTAGGAGTCAAATCATGTTTAAAGGTGTTAGAAAAAAGTATTTTAGAAGAAAAAAATTTGGAAGATGAAGTGATATTTATCTGTTTTTTAGTAAAGACATATTTTACTGTAGCAGTCAAATCATTTTACTGTAGCAGTCACATCATGTTCGAATGAAAGAGAAACTTTTGAAATTGTTTTGAGAAAATGATTTGAAAAGTTTAATAAATACAATTTTGTTTTGTGGAATCAATGAAAACAAAATAAAAATGCTTCCAAACATTGCCTTAATATCGAGCTTAGGGTTCGATTAATGAGCAGCTCAAATCTGAGGGCAAAACGGTCATAAAACAGTAATTTGCGTTTTTTAGTTAGTAAGGTGTAAGTGATGGGCTTATGTGTAAAGAAGAAAAAGACCATGAACATAGAATAATAAAGGTGTATGGTTAGGACTTTCTCATAAAAACCCCATATTAAAATGAGGGACCGCTAGTGAGGTTTGACTATTACGGTTTGGCCAATTATAAAAATTGAAATACCAATTGCAGCGGGAGTTTTACTAAAATTGACTTAAACGCAACAGTACTCTCATGATGTTCATCAAATAACATCATCTAAGAGGATGTTTTGCTAGGCTTATAAAATGTTAAAACGAGCTTATAAGATGTCTACGAGCTATTCCATTGTGTTAGGTATTTTTTTTCAAAAAATCTTAAAAAATCAAAATATTATAGGCTAGAGGAGAGCAAATAAGATTTTCTTTTTTTTAAAGTACCTTTACCCCCATCTATTTATTTAAGATCTTATAATGAGTAAAATAGCTTGTAAGATCACTATCCAAATAGTTGAAAAACATAATTTTAAAAGTAAAACGTAACAACTTATCAGCTCTTAAAACAGCTTATCAGATAATTATAAAAAAAAAAAAAAAAACAGCTTATCAACTGTTTAAAATAAGCTTAGCCAAATTGTCCCTAAGTTCAAATCCGAATACATGATTTCTAAAATGTTCGATATCTCATAATTTTGAAGATCAATGTCACATAAATCGTCCTCATCTACCAATTTTAAACGATTGCATTCATCATCATCCATCGCAAAATCCAGAAAAAAAAATGCCTCGAATTAGTTTTGAATCGCAAGAATCTATAAAAATTGAATTAGGGTTGTAATACTGTGAGGATTGGTGAAAAAATTGAAGAGAAAAGTGTGAATTAGGTTTGGGATATTGAAGAAATCTGTTCTAAACCGTTTTTCAGAGCAGTTGACTGCATTTCTTCTTCTTTTTCTTCTTTTTTTTCTTCATTTTTTTTCTTCATTTTTTTCATTTTTTTCTAATTGTCGACTAATATCGTCAATATCGTATTGTATCGTGATATTTAACGACATTTATCAATAGGCCATAACCCGAGTTGTATCGTTTTGATTTGAACCATACCGTATCGCGATATATCGCGAGATTAACTACCATGCTCTCATTTCTCACATTCAAACTTCCTAAAAAAGTCGAAACTCTCTCAACTCAAAATTCCGAAATCTTTGAATCTGAAGCTCGTTTCACAAATTTTACTGCCGACCAACAACAACTTCAATGGCCGATCCGAATTACGATTACGAGGTAAAACGAGCACGGAAGCAAAAAAAAAAAAAAAAAAAAAAAGGAGGGGGTTTTATTCTTTTAGAAACGAAACCTAAAAAAAAGGGTGGTTTCGTTCCTTTAGAAACGAAACCCAAAAAGAAAAAGTTCTGCTCGTAACGAAACATACCATTTTTTTATTATTTATATATATATATATATATATTTCTTCGTATTAAAAAAAATTAGTATTTTTATACTTTGGTAGAATAATAAAGACGAATGTGAGGATGAATTTAAGAATCAGAAGAGCTATCCCTTTACCAGGTCCTTGCATCTGTACAAATAACAATTCAAATTAATTAAATAAATTTAATTAAATAATAAGTCAATTAACAAAAAAAATCAAATTTTGTTAAGGTTTCGCCTTCTGGAAAACGTAACCTTCAAAGATTTTGAAGGTTTCGTTTTCTAGAAGGCGAAGAAACCTTCAAATTTTGTTGAGGTTTCATTTTCTAGAAGGCGAAATCTTCAAAAAAATTGAAGATTTCGTTTTCTGGAAAGCGAAACCAAGTTTTTTTTCTTTTTCTTTTCAAATCCTAAATTTAATCTTAAACCTATATTGGTAACTAATTGGTAAATCAAATTGATTGTAACGATTAAGATTAAAAAAAATTTACCGTAATTGAGGTTCATACGCTACGGATTTGAAGCCGAGATTTTTTCAATTTTTAAATGTGTTGAGAGAGTCCCCTGAAGATTTGAGAGAATTTAGAAATGAAAATTTTCAAATGAATAATATTCCGCTGCCATCAGTAAAATTGCAAATAGCAAGCCCCTAATAAAGTTAGGTTATTTATTTAAAATTATATTATTTATTATTTTATTATTTTATTTATTTTATTTTGTTTAAAAATAATTAATTGAAAAATCTGGTGGTGGGTCGCTAGAGAATCGATTAGCTGATTTGATTAGTTGGCTGATTTTTTCAAGGGGTGGTGGCTGCACGAAGGAGGTTGCCAGAGCTCCGATTAGTTGACTTCGTATCAGCTAATTTCCGGTCGGCTGATTTATGTATTTATTTGATTTGATTTAATTTTTAATTATTTGTAACATATCATTCATATCTAATTACAATTAAATAAATATAAATTCACACGTTAAGTAAATCATGCATAAATCACGTGCATCACTCGTGGTTGTTGCTACTAATCCAAAAAAGCGGGTATAATAATTAATCTTTTTCTCTACTTGGCCGAGAAGAGAATATGGTAATGATGATGCAGCAATTAAAATGAACTTAATTGATAATATGTTACCAAATCAAGTTTAGTTACCTGGTATAGTAAGAACACTAGAGATGTAAACGAGCGGAGCTTGGCTGTTTTGACGAGCTCGAATCCATTTTGATGAGCTCGAGCTTGAGCTCTTCGAGTAATTTTTTTCCTGAGCTCGAGCTCGAGCGAGCCGGGCTTGTTGAGCTCGAGCTCGAGCCAAGACCATTTTATTTTTATTAATATTATTATAAATTTATTATTAAAAATTATCATTAAAAAAAATGGAAAAACAAAATAACTTGTAATTTATTTTTTTAATTATTTATATGAATTATTATTTACTTTGTATTAATTATATTTAAACTAAAAATAAAGAAGCTTGTGAGCCGGTTCGTGAGCTCACAAATAACTAAAAATGAGCTCGTGTTGAGTTCGAGCTTTTGTCGAGCCGACTCATCGAGCTCACGAGTCAGCTCGGCTCATTTAGACCCCTACTTGTCACACTTGTCGCACTAATATTCCTTTGCGATAGGGTTCACCTTCTTGGTACAATTTTTATAAGAAGCATATCACTAATTAGTTGTCTACTCGATCCCCAAAACTTTTGCCACAAAATTTGAATCTAAATTCTGCCTTCTTCCACCTATTCTTATATTTTTCTATGAGACTTTTCGTTGTGCTAGCATGGATACAAATAGCCTAGGACAAAGATCGAATAAATCAGTTACCTCTTGAATATTCGAAAAAAACAAAAAAAAAAAAACAAAAACAAAAAAAAAAAAAAAAATCATTTTGATGCTACCCATTTGTGTTTTATTATACTTATCTAGCACTAACCATAGAATTGCCAAACAATATGCAGAAAAAATGGGAATGATAATTAAAAAAATGATTTAATTAGGTATGCACAATAATTTGAAAATTAAATTAAAAAGTTCAAATATATGAGTTACGATATGTACAACAATAACTTTCAAATGGGAGAAAAATTCGCCCTCGTAGTTTCTCCAGCAAACTTTCTCGTAGTTTCTCCAGCAAACTTTCTTTTGTTAGTAACAATAAAACTCGAGCATGTGATACATTGATGAAATCATACTTCAGATTGTAGTTACGTTTTTATCCAGTATTTTGTTTTACAAAGCAATTGTAAAAAAAAATATTTCGGCTTAAAAAGAAAATAGAAACCCCCGAAGAAATAGGTACCACAAACCAATACGATACTCGGTCAAAATTACAAGAACACGGCTCACTCACCTTCATTACATATATAATGCAACAGTTCATAAGATTCTGCAATAACTTGGGTTCAAAGCTTAATGTATGTATGTGCGTGCATATAATATCTATAAGAATTACATTCTCTATTTTTCTGTTCACCACCGAATATATAATCACAACATACGACCAATAAACGGCGTCAAGCAGGCAATGCAAAACTCTGCTGTACCCAGTACGGAGGATCCATCACCGCACAAGCATCAGTCTTCTCAAAATCAGCAACCTATTTACGGAAAAAATAACAAAATAATAATAAATAAATAAATAATAATATTATCATCCTCTCTCAAGAATTAAAAAAGAATACCTTTTCATTGCAGCTTGGACAATAATGATATTTGTGCCATAGACAATCCATCGAAGGGCAAAGAAAGCAGACTCCGAGCATCATCGGCATCATACAACCCACAAAAGCAGCTAAACTCGGTTTCGACCTAAATACGCAAGCAAATTAAACGACAATAATGTGGTTGTGTAAGATACGATATTTTACTTACTACATAATCCGACCTTCTATTCGGCAAAAGGTGTGTATTAATTTGGTAGTTGTACAAGCTTTATAAGAGTGAATAAAAAGATAAGAAATTGGCGTTAATTATGGGAGAAACCCTATTGAATAACATCGTATACACCCCCTCACGTACAGACGGGCTATGTTTTAGTGAAGCTCGTTGCAAATAAATTTTGGCCTCAGGAAAAATATCTGTACCAAAAATTCCTCCTCGTCAACTATAAAAAAATATCGACACAGAACAACAAGAATTAATGTACTAAGAATCGGAAATGAATTTGACGTTTTAAACAAGTACGATGATAGTATTAAACAACTAATTTTGAAGTATTTTCACACGAATAGCCGATCTTCCGAGAGAGTTCATTTTTACGAATACATATGAAATGGTATTTGTAGTTGTAAATCCGATTTGGGGAACACAAATGTCAATCAAAATTGCCCTAGAATTGAAATTTGAAATTGATCACTCTATTTCCAGATTTCAATTAGGGCAAGTGTGAATCTATGATCGAGAATACTTTGGCCGAATTGGAAACACTAGAAATTTTTTTCCTCACAGCACAATAATTTAAGAAAAATCAATCGGGAAAAAAAAAGAAAAAGAGAAGGGAAGGGGTGGAGGAATTTACTTGACGGTGGTGATGCCGGAACCGCCGCAGTGAAGACAGTTAAAAGGGGCAGGGGTATCACGGTAAATAGTCTGAAGAAGGGGAATGCCCTTGGGGTGTCCAACGACGGCGTTTGGAGGGATGGCGCCACTTTGGTAAGGGTTTTGTCCCACGTAGTACTGCTGCTGCTGCTGCTGCGGCGCCGACGCATGGTACGCCGAGTTGTACGGGATTCCGATCGCAGGCTCCTCGTTCTTCGTTGTTTTCTCCATGGATCTTCCAATTTTTCGCTAGGGTTTATTAAACAGATTTCTTGAGATTCTCAACAACAAAATCAATGAAATTAATCGTAAAGTTCAACTTTAATATATGTAGAGAGAGAGAGGCGAAATTACTGAGAATTTTCTTTATAAGTATAGGTCTGAAAAATGACGCGTATGGTATGAATATGTGGGTGAGTTCGAGAAGGAAGAAGAAGCTGACTCGCCATGGAATAGTCTTTCAGAACTGGATCGGGTCAGCCCAAAATTGGTGTTAGTGGGCCATACTCATACCAATGAAATTTCTTATTTTAATCGCTTAAGTTGGACATATTACAAAAAATCACATCAATTTAACGTGTCAGATATTTCTCTTGTTCCACATTATTTGTTATTTTAGAATTTTGATTATGCATTAGTTATTATTTTTTCGATTTTGTCGTTATTACTAATTATTAATTGAGAGAGAATTAATGGAAACAACATTAATAACATGGATATTTTTGTCATTCTATATATTTTTTTTCTAAAATCGACGCACATTATTAGTTTTCTTAATATGTAAGCAACAACCCAAAGCGACATATACTTTGGCATGGAGAGAGTATATTCTATGGTACACGAAAACTTATGTAACATGTACAGATGTGTCATGACACTTGTTGGAAACTTTTTGGGGTTGTTTTTATAAATTTAAAAGTTTCACGGACATTCTTGGTAATTATAAAAAAGAGAAAAGCAAACGTGTTTCCACCGAAAAGAATCCACAACCGATTTTAAATAAAGACTCGAAATTGCCAATGCTTGAAAAAATGTTAAATTTTATGTATTTTTTTTTTCACGTTTAGTGGTGTTTTAATATTTTTGTAAATGTTAATCATATACTATAACAAATTTATCTGCCTCGTATAGGGGTGAAAGTTGGAAAGGTCTGTTCCGATTCAAAAAGTTTCAATTTTGAAAAAAAAAAAATCATTCCGGTTTTCAAAGTTTCGATTTCCGATTTTTGAGAGACAATTTTCATTTGTTATTTCTCATATCGGGTGTTAGTGGTTTCACGTGTACTATTTATTGACTAGATTTTATGATTCAGTTGCCCTAAAATCTGACCCATACTTCCGAAAATACATAGATCGCCTAGACCTAGATAAAGCGATTACTGCCTGTTTTAATTTAAATTTAGCGTAAATTCCACTCCCCCCCCCCCCATTTACTTTGGTTCGGTACCACTTTACCCCTACTCTCGATTGCATCGATTTGACCCCTTGTACTTGAAAAAGCCATAGCTGTTAGTTGTCAGACATTTGACCTTAACACCGTTTGGTCTAAGCTCTGAAATTATAAAAAACTCTTCCTTAGTTTTGAGTTTTATTATTTTCAGAGTTTAAACTGTTTATGGTATTTCAAAATAAGTGTCTACAACTGTAAACACAATAATATTTGTGTTAACCACATCAATATATATTTTGTTTTTGTTTTTTTTTTAAATTTGTTTTTACTTTTTTAATGCACAATACCAGATATGGAGAGACACGAGAGGCGGGGGAAAAAATCACATTACCCTCCAAAGCTTTTATGTGTCCAGTTTGGGCGTGCACATCAATTTTCCGCGCTCGTTTTGGTCGTGAGCCACGTTTTTCAAATTTATAGAACAAAAATGAACAAATGTTACCACATTGGATTGTGTATCTCGATCCTCATCCAATGCACTCATTTTCTTTTGTAATTGCTGCAATAAGATTGATTTTGACGACGATTTCTAATATAAAAATTTGAGTAGATTTTTTTCTAGAGAGAGAAAGAGAGGTGGAAAGCGGATTATTGTTAACCCATATTCATAAAAAGTGGTACCGCGAATATCAAGTCCCAAAAGAATATCGTCAAATCTCTTTAATAGTTTCTCAAGCATATCTTTTGTCCCAATTTAGTTCATCATCTTTAAAATACATCTATTTCATCCCTCGCATTTCAAAATTGTTCCAATGTGATCCTTCCTGAGTTCCCCTAACCATTCTGCCAATAACTAACGAAATCATTAATAACCATGTGTTAAGAATATTCCATGTGTTAAGAATATTTTTGGTAAAACAAAAAGAAAAAATAGAGAACAGAGAGAAGTAATTTTTATTTTCACTAGGCATTTCATATTATAAAGTTGTATAAGTTTAGCTTATATATAAAAGAATGATTTTTTGACATATAACCCTTACTAGACCTAAATTAAAGGATAATGTTGTCAATTACTATTTCGACAGATTTTTATTCATTAATTTATTTATTTTTCGATCCTTTACACACCCACGATCATCGAAGATGAGGGGAACACAATCCCACGATATTAAAACTTCTTATGTCACAAACTACTAAACACACGATGTTACCACGATTGGAGCGATTACTTTTCACAATTGGTTTTAAACGTTTATCATTTTCTTAAATTTGGTCTCCAAATTTAATAAAATGGGTGATGTTTTCAATTTTATTTTTAAACTAATTGAGGCATCTTTACACTGACCGAGATTCGCCGGTGGAAACAGAAAAAAACTATCACCACTCACTTTTTGAAACTGCTGAAAAAGCTAAGAGAATTGGAATGGAATTATAACTAGAAGGATTGGAAGACCTACACAAGTGTAGAGTGGTGCTTAAAGAAGTCAAAGGCTAGGTAGATTTTTATTTGTAAACTCAATATATAATTTACATTAGTCTCTACAACTATATATACATGTACGGGTACCCTTATATTTGGTAATTACAATAATCATGCTACATGATATCTCTATCTACCAAAATCATGCTAAGCTACAAATTTGTTGTAAATTAATTCCAGAAAATCAGCTACAACTTATTTGATGGGATTGACAGCTTGAAAGGAGTTTTCGCTAATAGTGCCATGCCTTTTCAGTCTCCTACAAGTGATTCACAAATTTGAAAGAGATGGTGTGCGAAGATTACATAAGGTTTTGTATTGGAATTAATTATTGTGTATTTTTTCCCTTTATATTTACTCACTGTTAAGTATTGAGCCCAATAGAAATGATCTGTTGTGATCTGGGCCAATAGCTTAATTATTTCAAGGCCCAACTTGTGAAATCGGGCCCAATACTACATAAGCCCACTGATCCAGTCAAACGTAGATCTGAACCGTTTGTTCTAGGGCTTCAATCTGAGCCCTCCATCTGCCTCATTCTTCTTACCTCTCTCAACCCTAGCAGCATTCTTCTGCTGCGCCATTTCTCTCTGTTCCCTTGTCCCCTTCTCTCTCTACAGTGTTTCGTCACCCCTTGTCGTTTTCCGGCGACACCGTCGCAGGTCTGGCCGGACAATGGGTGTCCTTGCCGTCGCAGCACATTTAATGCTGAAAACCGTTGAAACTCTGTGTATTTATACTGTGGTGAGAGAGAGAGACAAGTGTGATTCACCTTTTATTCAAACCTTATCTTTTCTGGCCTTAATCCTCTTCTGTGAGGGTTTTGGTGTTGTGTGTGCAGAAATCTGGGTTTGTGCTGAGTGGAGAGGGTGAGTTATCACCGAGTTGACTGTGCATGTGTTGGTGAGTCAACTTGGAGTGAGGTTTTGGGGTCAGATCTAGGGTTCCGATCAGTGGCTGTAGCTTGGTGCTTGTTTTCAGTCGGTGTTACCACCTGACCTTGGATTAACTGGATGAACACTGGAAAAGGGAACTGAGCCGTTCTTATTCAATAACAATTTTATTCCTCATTTCCAGTTGTTTTAAATTGTGTTTACGGATCCATGGCTGTTTTGGAAAGAACCTGTACCTAACAGTGGTATCAGAGCATCAGTTGGGCACTTGTTCTTTGCAGACTCGTGTTACGGATTTCACTACTGTGACTCACTCACTCTGTTTCTGGGTAAAATCCTGGAAAACCTGTGGTTGACCTTGTGTGGTCAGAACTTCTTCCGCTGTTCTCTGAAATCTGGGCCAACTCAGGCTATCTGCCACTCCAAACTTCCCTTGTCCGGACCGCTTAGTGTCGCAGGAATCTGGGGAAGGGGGGTAGTCTGAGACAGCCCAGCCTACGACCGGTTACTTTGGTGCCTTCTGGGCCAACTCAGGCTATTCGCCACTCCAAACTTCCCTTGTCCGGACCGCTTAGTGTCGCAGGAATCTGGGGAAGGGGGGTAGTCTGAGATAGCCCAGACTTCGACTGGTTACTTAGTTGCCTTCTGCAACGCTTGGCTCTCTGTTGGGCCTCCTGGGATCATCTTGTGTGTTTTTTCCTTGTTTACTTTGTTGCTGTCTGTGTGCAGCTTTGTGTGGCTTTTATTTTCTGTTGTTGTCTGTGTGCAGCTTGTGTGTTTTCATTTTCTGTTGCTGTCTGTGTGCAGCTTGTGTGTTTCCATTTTCTGTTGCTGTCTGTGTGCAGCTTGTGTGCTTGTGTGCCTCTTGTTTTTTCCTTTTCTCTTTGTGAAAATGAATTCTTATCCTGTGGCTTCTTTTGATGGCAAGGGTGACTTTGTTATATGGAAACATAAAATGAAAGGTGTTTTAGTGCAACAGAAATGTTTTAAGGCCATAACTCAAACTTATGATGATAAAAACACTAAGGAAATGAAAGATGATCTTGATGAACTTGCTTATTCCCTGATTATTCTGAACTTATCTGACTATGTGATTAGAAAGATAGGTAAACTTGATACTGCTAAGGAATTATGGGATAAGTTAGAAGAGCTTTATACTGAAACCTCTTTACCCTCAAAAATGTTTTTACTGGAAAAGTTTTTTAGATTTAAACTTGACTTGCACAAAGATATAGATGAAAATCTTGATGTTTTTACAAAACTTGTGAAAGATATAAAGTTAACTGGGGATAAAAATATTGATGAATATACCCCCATTGTCCTTCTAAATGCTATTCCAGATTCTTACAGTGATGTCAAATCTGCAATCAAGTATGGCAGAGACAAAGTGACTCTAGACACTGTGATAAATGGTTTGAAAAGTAAGGAACTTGATTTGAAAACTACCAAAAGCAACAAATCTTTGGGTGATGTTAACTTTGTGAAAAACAAGCCTAAAAACAAGTTTTCAAACAAGGCTTCTTCCTCCAGTAACCAAAATTTTCAAAAGTCTGATAAGGGTAAAGTAGGGAGTAAGAATAAGCTCAAACATAGGAAGTGTTACAACTGTGGTAAGTCTGGTCATTATGCCAATAGGTGTTCTGAACCTAAGAAAGATAATAAGTCTAATAATGAACAGGCTAACCAAGTT